ACATTCACCATCTCCGTTGTACTACACAATTAATCTATTTATTATGTTTACTATTTGCTTCCTTCCATTAGAATATAAGCTCTATAAGGGAAAGGAAGTTTTGTCTGTCTTCTTCACTGCCATTCCCCCAGCTTCTGGAGCAGTGCCTAATTCCCAAGCAAGAACTCAATAAATATTAGTTGAATGGAAAGAGAAACAAAACTGCCCTCAAGGAGTTGTCTGACTGAAGGGACAAAAAAGTAAACAGACTGCAACATGAAACAAAGAAAGATCTAATGTTCTAGTGATATCCATAGGCTGTGAAACAGCTAACCATGGACAAGAGGGTTAAGGCATCAGAAAAGAAGAAAACAAGAACAAGTACCCACACTCAAACTCTGAATGTGAACATCAGCACCATTAGAGGATCAAACATTCACAGGTCTAGAGCCCTCACCCAAGTCATCTTACCATGATCAGAAATGCTTTCCCTTGACCCTGCCTGAGGTAAAGGCATCTGAAACAGATTTAGGGCTTCAAACTATGGCACCCAGAGTATTCCCTGCAAAAGGCAGCTCCAGGATACCCTGGCTAGTAAGTTTCCAAGCAGAAACTCTGGAAGCTCTGCAAATGGCTCCAAGAGATTTCTGTAAGTGGCCTGTTTGAGACCCTCATTGGACCCAAGGTCAAGGTGATTGAGGCAATAACTGAGATACACCCTCAATGCACTGTTTCTTCAAAAGTTCCTCTTCTAAAATACTTAAAACTAGTCTACTCTTGTGCATCAAAAAGAAAACCCTAAAGTGTCCCACATTATTTTCTGGATTGGGGGGAAGTATGACAAAATCAAAAGGAGTCATGATAGGCAGTTACCAAGGTGACCACTTTCCAGAAAGACCTTTGAGAATATGGTGCCCCATGATATAAAGGGACATTGGAAAGTACAGAGGGAAGATCAAAAGGAGAAAAACAAATATCTTATCATCATGGTTGTGGGATCTACCATCTTTATCCATGCTGCTGGTGGTGATGATAACTTAGCATATTTTTACAAACTGCAAAGCCTTTTTACTTTTAATTTTCCTCACAATAACCTTGGGAGATCATGAGGATATCATCATCTCCATTTTATGGATGAATAAACAAGCTCAGAAAGGTGTTACTCAGTCCAAAGATAGTGGGCAATAAAGCTATAATCTGAACCCAGATCTTCTGATCTGCTTAACTCATGTCACTGGGAGGTAAGAACACCGTAGAGATGCCATGGTCTGGTACAAAAGAACTCTGGGGTGATCTAGATTCTAATCTTGGCCCCATATGAACCTGGAGAGAGTCCCTTAATCTCTCTGTGCCTCCATACTCCATCGATGAGTAAATGACAGAAATAAAATCTACTTCTTAAGGGTTGCTTTTTGTTAGTAAGGATTTAACATTCTTATTTACAAGGTCTGCCAATCCCAAAGTGTGACTTAAACAAACAACTTGCTGAGGAAGACTGCCTGCCAGGCAGGCACACACCCCACTTGGAGCCTAAAGAAACAATCATCACAGCAATTCTGTTCTGATTCCAGAGGCCCCTGGCCACTAGATTTCTTACAAATGCCAAGTCCCCGGGCACAGCCTAAGCCAACTGACCTGCTTTATTACACACCCCTCCAAAGGGCATTCCCCAGAGAGAGAACATCTACCCCAATACCAACTACGGTTTAGAGGGTATGCCCCCCCACCCCACTCCTATATTCTTTCTCCACAACTACTACCTTCTCAGCAGCTCAAGTACCTCCCAACCAAGCAGAAAATATCTAGAGCCCTTTTCTACACCACTAGAATATCCAGACACCAGGAGAAACCCGAGAGCCGCGCTGCGGGGAACGAAATGAGTTTCGCCCACAAGGAGCTTACAGTCTAGAACGGGTTTTTTGGCGGGATTTCTCAACCTACACGGCCCTTTCCACATATAACTTCCAAAACAAATCCAACACCCTCCACCCCCAAAGATCCTCTCAGCATCTTTCAATCTCCCACTCGCCCACCCCACCTAGAAAAAAACCTGCTGAAGGAGCAGTTTCTGCAATTAGACTGCACTCCTTGCACCTCACACAACATACTCAGGAGACAAGGGAAGACCCCAGTCAAGGCTCCTGCCCCAGTATTGGGACACCTCTTCCAGAAGAATCTTGACCCCTCAGAGAAAGAAGGGAAACATCTCCTCCCCACAGGGGGCGAGCGCACCAGAGACTGACGCGCAGTACGACCCTCAGACAGAGAAAGCGAGCGCCAGCGAACGAGCGGGCAAAGAGGCGAGCACCCATTGGTTGCCTCAACTGCCCGTCAGGAGGAACCGGGGAGCCAAGGGCCGCTCAGGAGGCGTAACTCTCCTCTGGCCTGACCAATTGGAAGGCGTGGCGGGGGCGGGGCTTGGCGACTCGGCTTCCAGAGCCGGGGGGGAGACAAGATGGCGGCTGCGGGAGGGGGTCCTCGCTTTTCTTCTCCCCCCTCACCCGCCTTCTCCTTCCCCGCCGCCGCCCTCGCCCCAGGCAACAGCTTTCGCAGCACCCCCGCCCCGCTCG